TATATATATATATAAATATATTATGCAGATAGAAAAAATCACAGCTATGTCATAATAAAAAAGAGCATGCAGAATAAAAGTGTATTGATGCTCACATACACGCACGCACGCAGGCCAGAAGAGAGTTTCATTTTTGTTCGTACACATCGCCATTATCATTGTCATTATATATATATATTTTTTTAGTTTTGCTTGGTTGGTTGGTTGCTTGCTCCGTTTTAAAAAACGAGTAAAAATAAGGAAAGGTGCAAACTGTTACCTTTATTATTCGGTCAAGTCAAGCAAACCTCGGGGGTCCACGAGATACCGACGCATTCCCAGAGAGCCAAAGCAACGTAAATGTAATACACACTGTGTCTGAGGAACAGGGAATTTTCTGGATTTCAAGGAGAATAGGATAGATTCAATGAATTTAGAAGGTTCGATAATGAAACGTGCGTGATCTCGCTACGAATAAATTCTCATAATTAATCTTATATCTCTATATATAATTATAATTTCAGGATTATTAGTTTATAGCTTGCCTTTAATTCGTACGAGAACACTACGACGATTAATGATGGTAATGCAGGAATCGAATTAGTAAAGCATTATGACGTGATTCGATGGTTATGGATATTGATTATGGCAATTCGGATAAAGATGGATTTGTTTAATCTTTCAAGATGTATAATTCAGGATATTCAAGGATGATCTCGACCTCGACGTTATTTTTTATTATAAAATACATATTCGTTGGAGAATTCGCATTTATTAAATTTCGAGTTTTCAATAATCTCTTAAGACGCAATAAAATTTTCAGTGGCAAAAAAAATATTTAAATACTAAATTTAAATACTACTAAATACGCTTAATCAAATATCTACTAAAAATTAATTAATAATTACAAATTCTAAATAGCTGGACTAAAGTTATTAACAATAAACTCAATTAAATAACTCTCTAAAAAGTTTGCGAACAAAAAACAAATAACAAATATTCGTCAGACTATTATTAGACTATTATTAATTCTAAAAATAAAATCCAACAAATACAAATCCAAAAATAAATTATGTTATTAGAAACAAAGCACTCGTTATTGGTTAAAAAAAAAAAAGAAAAAAGAAAAGAAAAAAACTTTAGCAAAAAAAATTTCTCAATCTATATAAAATATAAGATAAGAAATATTCCATCCGGGTTTCCGTCGAGATCGATAGAAAGATAATGATATATCAGATCGATTTTAGGTTTTCAGGATAATGATGGAAAAGGGTCGCCGATCATCTAGTTACCTTTTACCTGTAGCTTGGCCGTGTACCTGACCTCGGCGGCGGGGTTCGCGGCGACGCAGGTATAGTCGCCGGAGTGCTCGGCCGCGAGGTTCGTTATACTGAGGAGGCTCGAATAAGGATCCAGTTGGGAGATGTTTGCGGAAGCAAGATTCGGCGGCAAAGGGAAAGGGCTTTGGCCGTCTTTTAGC